GTATCAGTGTCAGTCTCTGTCTTGAAGAGCTTGAACTACAGTATTTTGCCTAAAGCTTCACAAGTACTTTTTTACAGCATAGTCAAAATAATGCATCTCTTGCTGTCTTATCCCATTTATCTCAGGTTCTGAATGGTTTCAGTATGAAATACTCATCATTTAAGAGTTTCTTTCTCTGGTGGCCTTTGCTCTTGGGTTTATGTTCTTATTGTGGTACCCCATCAGAGGTACTATTTGTTCTGTTCTTCTACCTTCGTTCAGTGTGGGTGTGGGTTAAGGTGTTAACATAATCATTTGGCTTGTTACCTTTGCTCCCATCTCTGCTTCCTGGGGTGTACAGAAGAGCAGGGAGGTGAATGAATGGTAAGGACAGAGCACCGGTCTGAAATCTTGGACAGAAATTTCTCAAGAAACGAGAAGTGGCAAAAGCTGAACTCAGGTCCAACTCAAATACTTTCTTAAACAAGTTCAAATAAAGCTTTTGATTCCAGAAGCACAGACCTTTGCTGACTCCTGAAATGTCACTGGGTTATGAATACAGAAATTTCCAGATATTGTTTTTCTGTCTCTCCTTCTTTGGTACTCCAGCTCAAGCTTCACCGATCTTGACTGAAGCTGTTTGTCTCAACACCACCAAAATCCTGTTGTTTGGGTGCATATGAAGGGGCCTCAGAGAGTGTTTGCAAGTTTCTAAATCTCAGATCTGTTGAAATGCACCAATGCCTAACTCTTGACCTTGTGTTTCACAGGAGCCTTATCTGGTATAATACATGGGTTAGGGGTATTGGATCAGGGTCACACAACAAATTTAAAAACTCTCTGCTTTTTGGTGGAGAGGTCTAGACAGCAACACTGACATATCAAAGGAAGAAATCTGACGTAAAGTAACACACGGGAGAAAAGCGAAGGCAGGAGGGGAATGATTCAATGTGCAGCATAAAAATGAGTGAGAGGTGGAAAGGCAAAACCCAAACAGCTGAACACTGGACTTTTGGCTGGATGCTAGCATGGGCCAGAGAAGATACACACAATACTGTGTTACTGTCTAAATTTTATCAAGCTGCCTGAATGGCAATGACCAGTTTCTTAAGAACTTCTCTGATTTTGATGTCTAGTGTAGCATAGAAGTTCAGGAATTGCCATGACACATAGAAAAAATCTCTTTCCAAATCAAGCAGAATGGGAATCAAAACCTGACTTTTCCTCTTCCCAACCCTTTATCCAAAATGGGTTGTCAGAAAAACAGGGATCAGTTGCTATCTGTCTACTAAGGTACCATAAACCAAAAGTGTCCACACAAACACTTCTGAGAGTCTGTGAGCTGTACTTGGCTCTTCCATTGTCTATAAACTGAAAGCTTTTGGTCCTTGTTGCTTGCTTTCTCTTTTCCCCTCCTAAGCATTGCAAATCTGTAAAACTCACTTAAGGAGAATGTTACAAGTATATCTCAGCAAAGATTGAGGATCAATTTGACTATGAACTTTGCCAAACATTGTCCAAAAAGTTCTAACCAAATTTATTTAGGAGCTCCTTTGTTCTCACTGGCAAGCAACCCTGAAGAACACTTCCCAAATACGTATGTGTTTTGCTGTTTGGATTCTCAGCTGAAACGATGGACTTAATTTTCAAAAGTAATGAGTACCTACACAAGCCTGCTGATTCCAGATGGCTGAAGACCTTTGATGGTCTTTCAAAGTGCAGGATGTAATAATCCACTGAACATCCCAAAAGGAGGCAGTCAACATTGATGAACATCACTGAAAATGTCTTTGTTTTTCTTGTGATTTCTAAAATTCATACCAGTGACACTCACCCCTCTTGGGGGGAAGTGTATTCATAAGCCTAATTTTGCAGAAGTAAAGAACTGCAGATAGCTACGCTAAAAGAGGACCAAGGAGGACACAGCAGAGTTCTCCCTGCAGTGTTATTGTGCATTGTATCTTGCTGTCAGCATTACATTTCAGAACTGAGCATGACACCCTGAGCATGCCTGCTAAACCAAATGTGAATAAAAATTCATATTACAGCAGTTCTGTTACCAGGAAACCTCTATTAACGATGTCCAATTTTGCTCCAATATACATATCCCCTGCTTAAGTGTATGGCAGTCTGTATTATTTCTGTGTGTGTTTGTGTGCCTGCTAAAATTTATAGTGTATAACCATTCAATTGACACTGCATTTGAAAAGAAAGCTCTGCAAATACAATGAATGTACATAAAAATCTCTCCTGTAAGAAAGCAGACAAAACTTCTTTTTACAATATATTGTATGCAAAGCAGATGCTGATGCTGCTTTGAATGTTTCATGGGGGTTTTGATATCATCTAATTTGCCTGAACTATTTACAGCATCAGTAAAATATGTTCTTCATTTTACGAATGGTAAAATATCAGAGAACTAAGGCATATGTTTGAGATAGCAAGGAATTTGGTAAGTGCAGTCCCCTTCAGGGAAATGCAATGAAAAATAATTAAGAAAAAAAAATCAGTTCCACAGTCTCCTTGTAATCACTTTTTAGATCATCTTAGCTTTTTGGCCTATGATGTAAATAAATTTAATTTATAATATGGAAAGGAGACTTGTGGAAAGAACTTTAGCCTTGTTTCCTCCTTCTGGCCACTCCTGTCTGGGCTCTTGGGTATTTTTCTCTCTTGAGGGAATTTTGTCATGTACCATCCTGTTAAGTTTTGTGGGAGTAAAAGGACATTCATACACCCTTGCAAGGTTAGCGTCTTTGCGTTGGTTGCATCCGGATCAGAGATAGATTTCAGGGGCACATCATAAATATTATTGTGCCTGTGTATGTATCTCTTCCCAAATACTTCATGATACCTCTCCCCTCGATATATCTCAGCTGGAATGACTTTCTGCATTCTGTGTTAACAGGGCATTTTTTTTTTCAGATATATACCTTCTTAGTAGATGCAAAAAATTATAAAAGTAGCTTGTGGAGAACTGTCAGATGCAGCCTGTGGTTAAAATATTAGCTATTAACCCATTTCAGAAACCCATTTTCAGAAAAAAAAAAGAATAAAAAAAAATTCAAGCCTCTCTGCTAAGTGTTCAGTGTAAGAAACATGAAAAATTGTCTCAATACAAGTCACTTCCAGAAAAAAAAAGAATAAAAAAAAATTCAAGCCTCTCTGCTAAGTGTTCAGTGTAAGAAACATGAAAAATTGTCTCAATACAAGTCACATATGAGAGAGATTGAAATTCTGTCTGCTGGGAAGCTCATCAGAAGTACTAAGTGAAATAATTTGATTCTCTAGGTGTATGTCCGAGTACTTGCAGTTTCCTTTAAGCCCTTCTGTTGCGTTACATCTAAGATATCTGTGTTTCCATACTTTTGTCACATTAGATAGGTATGAAAGCACATTATGGATACTTTATTTTTAAAGATGCTGCATGTTTATCTATTCTAAAATGAATACAATAATTTGTAGATCAAAACTCCTAACACCATTTCAATGGCTGGGGTCCAGGTTTGTACTCAGAGAACAAACCTTCAGATCTAAGTGATAATAAATTATTTTCTAACAAGCACCACCCTGTTTTAAATATTAAAGTACATTACACACAGTGACAAAGCCCTCCAAACTACAATGCTTCATCATGCAAGAGCATCTCACTTTCTGCTTACCACTTCCACTTGTACTGTTAGTTTTCCAACTGTTCAAACAGAAACTCTGTTTTGGTAACAGCTTGTTGAGAGAACTCTGTGTTTTCCCAGTATGTACTTGAAGAAGATTAATGAGTCTTACTAACATGCCAAGTCAATCTGTTCCCTTCTGTCAATCAACTCCAGTAGAACAAGTATGTCTGTCTCACTAGCTATATTTTCATGCAGATACACTGCAAAAGTTTAATTAAAACACTAACCACAACTGATCATGAAATACATTCCAGAACACAATTTAAGAAATAATTGGATAGGTATTAGGTAAGCCCTTTTATGAAGAATTTTTCCTTCAAGGGGTCAGGGAGGACAAAGGAAAGGATAAACAATATGAACAATTTGACAGAATAATTCTTATGATTGAATTTTGATTTTCGTTGTGACTTTGTTCGCCTTATTTTTAAAAATGATACCTACTTGCAACATCCTACTTGCCTATTGCCCAAGAATAAATAATTTACATTTAAAAGGCAGTACAGTATCACTCTTACCTTGCTTGATAGGGGGGTGAGGAGAGGAAATGTTGTAAATAGGGAAAGCAGATGACAATTTTTGTGAGACTGACTTTTCATGTCAGCAAGCAATAAGGTATCAGCCTATTCTATTGTATCCATTTTTAAAGAGATAAATTAAGAAACAAGATGGGGATTTCTCATTCCCTTGAATTTTGTGGCATTCCAGTGCGTGCAATACACTGCCATCACTGGTGCAAGTGGAAAGTTGTGGGGTAGTATAGTGTTACCTACCCTACATTGCTTACATCCTGAAAGACTGTAGGCTTCAGGTTTCAAACAGTTAAATTTGCCATATTACAATTTAACTGTGAGTGAACCAGAGCACCAATGAATTAGCCAACGCAGTCAGAGCTGACACTGCAGAGGGAGCAGTCCTTTGAGAAGGCAGTAATAGGAGTCAGGGGAATATCCAAGGAGAAGTCACTCATGTTAGGGGAAAAAATGAAGGACTGGAGCAGAAGCAAAGAGAAAAAATATGAAAGTTCATTTGCGGAAGACTGAGTACCAGCCACAGAGGACAAGAACCTGAAAGCCTGAAAACAATATCTACTTTCATTACTTAAGTTTTGCAGTGATTGTGATTTACAGTGATTGATCAAAATATACAAATAGAAAACACACATCACATAAGAAGTAATAATACTTAAAGATATATATGTATATGTCTTGAATAGATTGTTAACAACTGTAATTCCTCTTGTTCACTGAAGTAAGGCTGTTTCTAATCTGTTTCTTAGTTAGCAAGGAGGTCCAATAGGAAAATTCAGTAGGACCCAGAAAAGGAGAGTTAAGACACTGCAGACAAATCCAACAGCTGAAACACATTTATTTTTTCATAAACAGTAAGTGTTAGTCAATTGGACTAATAAGAGAACATTAAGAACAAGGGTTGATTATGCTTGCAGAGGTATTACATCACTGAGGGAATAATAACAGCAGTCACATGGTCTATTTCAGAGATGGTACATGTGGTCCCTACCCATCATGGTAAGTGAAAGAGGAACCAGACTATCCCAGCTTTTCTAGTCATTGAAGGTGTAGCCTGAAATATTGAAAAAAGTTTCAGTGGACAAAATTTCTTCTGGGTCATGGGGCTTTGTCCCTTACCCCACCAGGTGCTGGTAGCAGCTCTGGCACTGTCCAGCACTTAAAACGAGACATCCCTTAAGAGTTGCTTTTCTGGCTCTTTTTTTTGTCCCATGTTCATAGGCCAAGAGTTTCTGGTACATCCCATCTTGTTCTCAGCTGACTTTATGTCAGTCCTCACAGTCCTTCTGGACCCAAACTCAGTCCTCTAGTTGTCTTGCAGTTTCTGTCATATCATCTGCTCTTGGTGCAGTTCAACAGGTAGAATTAGTTTCGAAATTGCATAGTGAAAGCATCCTGGATCAATGTCTCTCCTTTATATATGTCTGTGAGAAAAAGAGAAAAAAACCCAACTATGTTATTTCTTTGCATGATCAGGAAGACAGAAGATAATAAACCACATAAATATCCAGGCATGTACTACCGAGACCTCTACCCAGAGGTCAAATTTTGTAACTTTGCATCTGGAGCCCAAACCTGATTGTGTTACCTTGGAGATCATACAAAGAACAAATCATCAGAAAACTACAAGTAAAGAGAGTCTTGTAGAAATAGACAAAAGCCTTTTACATTTTTATAATCTACAGGTTATGCTCTTGGGGATGGAGCAAAGAATGGTGGAGTGAAATGGGATGAGCTCCTACTAGACCTCATTCTCTATAAGGCTTGGGAATGTCAGCAGAAGATGGAATTCGGTGGGCTGGGTGAGGTACATGAGTGGAGTCCAGACAGAAGGGTGAGAAAATGGGGTGAGAAAGAGGTGCTGCTGCTATATGTCACTGAATAACGATCTGATTCTACAGCTAATTGACCTCATGGTCTTTTGGAGCCTAGGTTTCCGTCTTTTAGGATCTCTGGAGGGCAGAACTGGGTGGCCCATGATCTGATTCTGCAGCTAATTGACCTCATGGTCTTTTGGAACCTAGGTTTCCATCTTTTCGGATCTCTGGAGGGCAGAACTGGGTGGCCCAGCTCAGACATATGTTTGGTGTTGGGAGAGGGAGAGACAGGAGGACACTCCAGGCTGGGGTCATCTGGTCAGGTGAGAGATGACCAGACCAGTGTTTCCATGTGCAAACACTGAAGCAGCAATAACATTTTTGATCATGACAAAACTGCTTGCTTTGAGAATTTCCTTCTGGCTGTGTTTACGTGTCTATGCTGTCTGATTAAAGGGAGTTTCTCTTTATATGCAGCTAGAGGTTCAGAGCAAGTTGGGGAGGGTATCAGTTCCTGAAGTCATGGTGGGAAGTTTCAAGACAAAATGCTGACATGTTGTTGTTGTTGCAGCTGTCATGCCTAGAGTGCCACATACATCATCTGGTCCCTTGGCAGGATCCATGTGCCCCCCGCTCACATGCCCCCTCTCCATGTCCCCTCCACCATAAATGTACTCACCAGCGGCCAGCTCTTGGGCTGTGGAAGGGGCTGTGCCTGGAGAGATCTGGGAAGATCATTTCTTGGACGATGCCACCAGGTCTGAGTTTGAAAGTGGTCTGAGCCTGAGTTGTGGCGAGGACCCCTTGCCAAGGTGGCCCTAGGACTTCTGTTGGACACTCAGCTCTGTGCTGCTGACAACAGTCTGTGAACACTTGAGCTACCATCCATGTATCTTGTAAAGATCATCTTAAAAAGGAAAAGTGCATCTCACAGCCCTAATTGGCTCAGTCCTTCTTCTGAGGGAATATCTTTTTTTACCTTTTGTTTTCTCAACCGAGCACTGCTCAACTGACACAAGCTTCTCAGCCTGGCTTCCCACAGTAGTGTTTCATTTTTCAGAGAGTTTTTCCATAGGTCTTTGACAGAAACCTACACCATGGTTCCATCTAAGGGCCAGCGTCGGTCCTTCCCCATGAGTTGATGTAGCAATAACAGTGGGTGAAGGGTTCCTTCATAATTACGGTTCCTTTGTAGAAGCCTGATAAAACTTGATATTTCTTGGGATGAGGGGACTGACAGGGCAAGAGAATTCATGACAATGCTGTTACATCTATGGGACATGTAGAGGCAGAACTTGAGCATAATGATCCCACCATGAAGAACTTTTCTTCCCAATTTCCTACATAACCCACTGTGGGCTCAAGCTGGAAAGCAAGAAACTGGGCAGTCTGGACTGTAGTGCAGATTTAAACCTAAATGTGTATGATGGCATAGATGTGATCTATGTTACTTGAGAGCATGTGTCCACGGGGAACAAGAAAGGGTTGTCTCCTCTGTTGGTTCCATTCGTCAGGGATGCAGAGCAGAAGGCTGCCATAGAAAACCTTAGAAGAAGCTGCCGAGTCCACAACACGGACATAACTGAATCCAGCAAGGGAGCAGATTCTGTCTTCAAAGATTCCCAGGACTAAGTGGACTCAAAGAGCTCTCGTCTCCAAGGTTATATTTTGTTTTGTTTCCTTTAGTATAAGCAGCCAAAAATGCTCCTGTTGAGTATACAGTGACATTTCAAGATTTTGTTAAGTAGGTCTAAGTATGCATTTCTTCACTGAAATTTCAAGTAGGATATCCTGTGAGAAGCCTTAGGAAGGGTTGGGTTGTTTTTTTTAAATATTTTTAATGCTTTAAACTGGGGCTTTCACTGGCAAACACAGGAAATGAAAGGTTTTTATTCATTAGAATGCCTGAGACAAAGAGCATTAGAAATACCACATACATTAATAAAAAGTTGATAATTTAATTGTAGTATTGAATAACTGCAGAAGCCCAGCACATGCCTACATAAACTGCCTGTTTGCGTTGCGCAGCGTGGTTAGGATATGTCTAGGTGTCTGGTATGCAAGCTTAATGTATGAACTGCTCTTTAAATTGCTGATTATATCCTTAGGCAGGTTTTAGTGAATTAATAGGACTTGTTGGCTGGTAAAAAATAATCATGAATCCTACTTTGCACAGTACTGTCTAACATAAATATTTGCCTTAAAGGTAGTAAGTTTTAAATGAGTGAGTTAATACACATAAAATATAAAGTATAACATGAACAAAATTAGAAAATCTAATTTAGCTATGAAACACTTCTCAGAAAATTAACCCTCATTTATGCTTACACTATTTAACAAGGAGAGGCCAGATATTTCTCAGCCATACAACAGGTCATAACAGAAGAAATATCATCTCATCCCAACAACTGGTTCTCATTCTTCTTGAAAGATACTTTATTTATGATCAAGTGATACCTTAATTTATCAGAATGACACATTTAAACAAGGCACAAAACTCTGCCATAGAAGTTAATGAAGACTGAGTGCTCAGGGGATTTTTAACAATTCAGGTTTCTTTAAGGAGGAGAGTGAGGATGTGATTAATTCTGGCTTTTTCTTCTCTTGTAACAGATCAAGTATATGAAAGTGACCCAGAGTTACCTGTTTTACTTCAAAAAAAAAAAAAAAGGCCGAAAACCCCCAGATATATTCTCTATTAGCCTTACTGCATGATAAACAAGAAAAAAGAATTCAGATGTGGCAGGTGCAAACTTACTGCTGCTTTTCTGTGAAATTTAAAGACAAGACTTTAGGAAAGGCCATTCAATATATGTCTGCTGGACCTAATAAGACCAATTTTAATGCTGGAACTAGCTTTGCATGTCGGCAATGTAACAAATCTGATACCTTCTTATAACACTCCAGAGTTTCCAGCACTTGGACTTTAAAAGATATCATCAAAATGTTTCATGAAGTGTAACTTGCACAACTCTACTTCCTTAATAATTAAAGATACCTCTCAGACTCAGTGCACATGCTCCAGCCGGAATGATGCCACTCAGAAATAAATTGCGTGTCTGTTTAAGATTCTTCCCCAGCAGTATTAGAATCTGTCCAGTAAAATGATACAAACCAAATTTGCCATAGTGCTAATTTACATTGCCATTAATGAGAACACAAGTTTTAAATCACAGACATAGAAGTACTATTGTGCATCCAGCTTATTTCAGCTCCACTCAGGGTGATAAGGCATTCTCTAGACAATTGTAATTATGAGTAATTTGTAAAAGTAATAAGAACTGCTTTTTATTACAGGCAATAAAAATCAATTCTTCATTCAATTATCTTTCCTGGCTATGATATGATAGCTGCCCTGAGTGAGTGTAACAGGAAAAAAAATGAGTAAGTTCTAAGGACAAGAACTATTAAAGAAAAATACAACAGCACTTAAAAAAAAAAAAAAGCTACAAAAATTTTATCTCCATTTCAGCACCTTGTCATAAAGATGTGGTAATAAAAACCTGGTACTATTGCTGTCATCCTTCTTTTTCTTTAAGACACAAACTTCACATATATTCACGTAAAATTAAGCACAAGACCAACTTAATTGATTCAGTATGATAATTAATGTGGTTAAAGTAAAGCACAAATGTGAATCTTTGTAGAATCAGGGTGATGGTGAAGAATAACATTTTGCATGTGATTAGCTTCCATGCAATAAGACTTGTTGAACTCCAAGTTAAATATTAACTCCAATTTTAACAAGAATTAGACCTTAAAATAACAGATACTTTCTATTTAATAAAACATGCTTTTTATGCTTCAAGGGAAGGTGGAAGGTGTGTGTTTGTTTTGAATAGAGGCAGATTTGGAGTGAGATTTTGGACAAACAAGAAAGTGTCTGAGGCCAAGTCCCTGCTTTTTATTTCGATTTTTCTTTTTAATTTCAAACTTTTCTATTCAATTAGAGGAGACTGGGAACAAAATCAAACAAGTGAACCTGTCTAATGGGCCCATTTAATAAAAATGTTTTGCGTATTTTGAATTTTTTCATATATTTTTGTTTCCAGGGGAACTGGAACTGAGAAACAAGGGTGTCAAATTTCATTTTGGAGTTGGGACCTGATTTTTACTTGTTATCTTAGCCTTCTAGCCAACCTGAGGGAAGGATGGGTAAATAAATTCAGGGGCATAAAGATATTCAAGCACACAAGTGTGATTAGGTGACTTGCTATGGTAGTACTCACTTTCTCATATGCCAGAGATGTGATACTTTCATGGAAGTGATAAATTGAGCCCCCACTGCAGAAGGGATTTGAGGATGGGCCACTTTAACCCACTACCTTTGATCTCCCCTCGTGGTATATTTGATCGAATTTTGATTTAGAACAATAAAAACAAACCTCACTGAGTCTGCACAAAGTGAACCACCCTATAAAGGCTGTTTAATGAGCAAACTATTCAAAGATTAGATGAATCTAAAAGGTTATTGGATCGTGAATTTTTTTGACCTCTATAGAATAACGCATCCTTACTAAGACAGCAACGGATGTCAGCTGAAGTCAGCAGCCATTTGTGGAGCATTTTATTAAAAAAATCCATATAAAATATATCCTCTGGATCAT